ATTTAATGGCACAATAATTTATTTGTCAAACTTCTTTTTGACCCTATAATTTATTTTAATACGCCAGTTATATATTTATACATTTATTTCCAATAATGATAGGTTTGGTCCTCCATACTAATCGAGCATGTCCAATAATTATTTAATCTGCTCTATTTGCACAACAACTTCCAAATAGACATGCTAACATGTAGCATCCATGTTTGCCTCAGTGAACAGTGAGCTGAATGTGATGTCACGTCTTCTTCTGCACATCAGTACCATGAGGAGTTCATACTGGAGTCTGATGGAGGTCACATTTAAAATAGAGCAGTGAACCTCCACGCAGCAAAATCTGATTTTTGAAGAAAAAAAAACAATCTGAACTGAGCTTGAAGACGTGCAGTGTGAGCAGAGTATTAATCTAAAACTCTAGCGTGAAAGGCAGTGGATGATAATGCATTCCTTTAAGGATTGCTACACCTTTAATTTGAAGCATAATGTTTTCAGGTCCCCAGTGTTTAATCACAACCGTAGTTAGATTTCAATGCACAACAATGTGTGCAACCTTCATCGCATTTTCACCACAAAAACAGCCGGAAAACAAATAACACCAGCAGATGTGTGTATGTGTTGTGCTGTTGCACTCAGTGTGTGTTCTTGTTTGTGTGCAGGGAGGAAATGCCAACCTGCTGCAGCTGCTGAGGAGGAACAGTGAGGTAACACCACCTTCCTGTCTCTAATTTCACTTGGAGCCGCTGTTAACATGGAAACGGTCAAAACTCTGTGTCAACATCATTGTTGCCAGCATCAGCTGAGAGTGCRGTCAAACTGCAGATGATGTTTCAGTGCGAGGTTTTCAACACTTTGCTAAGTCATGGGAAAAACGCACAATTGGCTCAGGCTACCTGAAGCAGATGGCAAAAAAAAGAAATATTCACATCAATGTAACACAGAGTACCTTGTTAACAGTTAATACTTTATTGGACTATAAATTCAAGTTGTCCTAAATTGTCTTTCTTTTTATCTTGTCGGGTGTATTGTTTGTTGTACTTGTCACACAGAGATAGTTGTTTGTGTTGTGGCAGTACATTACATCCAAACACGTTTTGAAAAGCAGCTCCCCCGATTATTTTAGCATGCTGGCTGCAAAGAAAAGGTCAGCAGCCTGGTCTTCTTGTTGACGCTTTTAAAGGAGAAAATGTCAAATGTTTAAGCTCGCAGTCRGTTCTGGTTTTGATCCTGAAGTCCATGTGCATAAAGCACCACTGCCATAAATGATGCATGTAAAAGTCAGCGGCAGCAAAAAGGAATTCAACGTGAAGCCGCTGTCTGCAGCGAGCTGAAGGGAATTTTCTCCTCTGTGTTTGGTAATGAAAACGCAGCAGGATGCTTCGAGGTCGTACGACACTCATTGTTCTCTCTTTTCTTCCAACAGCAGGTTCTCCACAGTGTTTCCAACCTGCATCTCCTGCTCAGCTCTCTGCAGGTAAGCCGGCTCCCGTATGAAGCCTCCACGTGCCGCAGATCAGAAATGACACGATGCAACACTCTGGAGCTTTTTGATGTCACTGTGAATTTAAATAACTTTCCACTTGTGTAAAAGAAACGGGAGAAATTTGAATTTAGACACAAACACACACACAGGAAGAGATGATGTGTTTTTTTTTTTGTTTTTTTTAGAGTAGCAGGCTGTGTGTCCGCGATGTGACTGTTGTGCCCTCTGTTCATTCCAGGCCGTGGTGGTCCAGCAGGACAGTTACATCGAGGATCAGCGGCAGGTTCTGAGTGAGCGCTCCTCCTCTTGTGCATCTTTGTCACGGCACTCGTCGCGGCCCAGCTCCCTGATTGAGCAGGAGAAGCAGCGCAGCCTGGAGAAGCACCGGCAGGAGCTGACATCCCTGCAGAGACAACAGGCGGCTCACGCTGAGGAGAGGAGGAAGAGGGAGAGGGAGTGGGAGCGCAGGGAGCAGCAGCTCTCCCAGAGAGAGGAGCTGGTGCACTTACAGGTAACGATTCCTCCTCTTCCTCCGGCTTTGTTCCTCATCAGGCTCAGAGCAGATGTAATTCTTAAAATAACCGCTGCCATTTATTTCCATACTGTGGGATGATTTGATACTGAAGTGGTTCACACCCTTTGGGTGAAACATTACAGAGAAGTTTCCTGCGTTGAATCAGGTTTACTCTGATGTTGCACCGCTGTCTTGTGGGGTACCCCAAGGTTCAGTTTTGGGTCCAATCCTCTTTTTATTGTACCTATACCCTTTAGGAGGTATTTTAAAATGTTGCAATAATGTGTCCTACCATCTGTATGCTGATGACATACAGTTGTACTGTTCCTTTCGACCCTCTGAGTTCTTCAAACTATCTGAACTCAGTAACTGTCTGTCAGAAGTCAAAATATGGCTGAACAACAACTACCTGCAGTTAAATGCAAACAAGACTGAAACTCTTATCGCCCCTGACGATAAAATCCCTGTAATCAAGCAGCACCTTGCTTTKTTAACCCCTTCAGTGAAAAATAGTCTCAGAAATCTGGGTGTTGTCTTTGATAGTTCTATGTCTTTTGACAGCCATTGTAAAACTTAAGTTCGTAACTGTTTTTATCATTTAAGGAACATTTCAAAGCTGAGATCTTTTGTGTCACAGAAGGAACTAGAGATGGTTGTTCACGCTTTTATTTCTTCTCGTTTAGATTATTGCAACAGTCTTTTTACATGTTTAAACAAATCCTCCTTGGCTCGGCTTCAGTCTGTGCAGAACGCTGCAGCGAGGTTATTAACAAAGACCCACAGGAGAGCCCACATTACACCTGTTTTAGCCTCTCTGCACTGGCTCCCTGTGACTTTGAGGAGTCATTTTAAAATTTTAGTTTTAACTTTCAGAGCACTTCATGGTCAGGCCCCCAAATACATACTGGACCTTCTGAAGCCTCTCTGTCCATCCAGGACTCTGAGGTCTTCTAATCAAATGCTGCTGGTGGTCCCTCGAACCCATTATAAAACCAGTGGAGACAAAGTTTTTCAGGTGGTGGCCCCGAGGCTCTGGAACACTCTCCCTCTGTCCCTTCGCTGCTCAGATTCTTCTGACTCTTTTAAGAAACATCTGAAGACATTTTTATTCAGACAGGCTTTTAGTTAATGTGCTTTTTTATTCTAAACTGTTGCTTTTATATCTGTGATCTGTTTTATTGTTTTTAATTATTTTTGCTTTCTGTGAAGCACTTTGTGATGTTTGTCTGTGAATGGCGCTATAGAAATAAAGTTTACTTACTTACTTACTTATTTGGATGTATTAAGTGGCTGGTGTTATGAGTCTTTTATAGCTTTTAAAACTATGGAAATGAAAATGTACATTTTAATTATATTTATTGTTAATTGTATTTTTGTATTTTGATTTTATGGACCCCAGGAAGACTAGCAACCACTTCTGTGGAAGCTAATGGGGATCCAAATAAAACAACAAACAATAAAAGGTCAAATATAATAACAACTGTCCTGCCCCTGAGCTGTTGGCTTTCAGTAACTGAGCAGTTTAGTTGGATAGCTCAGTGTTAATGTCTGAATATAAGCTGCTTTAAAGTCAGCATCAACCATAAACTAAATCTGCTGTAATGCACACTAGCTACTCACTAGAAACTAATCAGTGAGTAAAACWTTATTAGTTTTACTTTTAATAGTCAGTCATACACTTAGTTCTAATCAGTGTTTAAAAGAGGATGTGTTAAAACACTGTTTAGTCAAAGTTAAACATGAAACGTTCATTACGACTGGCCCTTCGAGGGCCACCATAACACTCATGTGGCCCTCGGTGAAAATGAATTTGACACCCCTGCAGTATGGTATAATGGAGTGCATAAAACCCGTTGCTCTGACTGTTGAAACGGACGTCATGTAATCTATTTTGTGTCTGCTATGTTTGCTAAGGTTGATTAGCTACCTACCCACCCATATATAAATAAAACTCTAATTTCTGTATGTTGATTGTAAACTGGCAGAAACTGAAAATATTCAAGTGAAGTAAAAGTTCCTTCGACCAAACGTTGACTTGAATAAACACATTAGAAAAACACTAAATTATTAACTTGGACCCRGAGAAGCTTAGACTTCCAGTTTCCCATTTATTACTTTAAAGTGTCCTTAAACTGAGCCATTTTACCTTAACAGAACAACATTAACTCAGTGGTTTTCCTGTGAATTAAATAGAGACATGGTTTACATTGACTTAGAACGAGTCGCGATCACCGGTCTGTCAGCATGTTTTTTTTTTACTGGTCTTGTACAAGTCTGAAATGCTCAGATACCCTCTTGTCTCCAATCAATCAATCCATGCACCTTCCATCCACTGCAGGAGGAGCAGATACAGAAGCAGCAGAAGGAGCTGGAGGACGAGAAGCAGGATCTGCAGGGCAGGAAGGAGGAGTACCAGAAAGACCTGGAGAGACTGCGAGACGCTCAGAGGAAGCTGGAGAGGGACAGGGACGCTGTGCGGCGGCAGATCGACAAGATGGAGGAGCTCCGTCTGTCTGAGGTGAGCAGAGCTAAAAGAACGATTCAGTTACTCCTGACACAGAGAGTATACCTGTTGGCCCTGCTGCTCCAGGTGAGGCTCAGACTGCTGGATGGTACTTCAGCGAACAGCTCTCGGATGGAGCAGCGCTCAGGCCAATCCAAACAGATTTCCAAAGTCTGAACATTTCCTCGTGAACTCTTCTAAAATTCCTCTTAATTAACATTAAACCATCAAAACAGGCACTTCTCATGCATATTCACCCACAGATGTAGACACCAGCTGCTCATACGTCTAACCTCCTTCCTGTTACTTTTTTCTTTTCCCAGAGAACTCCGTCTACAACATCCGACGAGTCCCTGTTTGCTGGCAGCTCCCAGTCCCTGGAGCTGGACCCTCTGGAGGTCTCCTCCTCCTCCTCCTCCTCCTCTTTGCCCAGGCTGCAGCCCCAGCGCTCCAAAACCAAAGGGAAAGGCCTCAACCCCTTCGCCTTGTCCTCCACTAACCTCAAGGGCGGCGAGGCCAACATCCAGATCTCCAAGAGCTTCCTGCAGCTCGGCAAGAACAAGAACAAAGACGGCAAGAAGAAGAAGAAGAGCAAAGGGGGGAGCGCGCAGGCAGCAGGTAAGAGGACGCATTCAGATGAATTATGAAGTGTTTTACAGTGAGTCACCGGGTTGAAGTGGAGTCTTTTTTTTTATTGTCAAGGACACTCCACATCAGACACAGTGTTTCATTTTTATTGAAAAAGAAGGAATGTGGTTGGATAGACAGCAGGAGATAAAGGAGATGAATGAATATGCCAGGTCTGCAGCTGTTTTCACAAAGACAACTTGAGCCTATGTTACAGTGCACACTTCCAAGGTTTCCTCTTTTTTTTTCATGCAGCAGTGCTTGCCGGATAGTCCAGAAGTAAAGATATTACCAACAAGTAGCCCTAAAAAGATAAATTCATATCTCTGGAGTGGTTTGAAGATGATAGAAAACTGCAGCTCTTTTTTTTCCTTCCAGAGACGCAGAGAATGAAACGGTTTGTGAACATAAGTATCCACGTACATCAGAGAGAGTGGCAGAGACACTCCTGAGAGGCCAAACCTTTCTCCATATTTGATTTCTGCTGAGTTGTCAGTAATAAAACTATTAAAGGAAGAAATTTATCTTCAAGAATGGAGTCGCAGGTTTTCTTATCTGTCAGGTTTCTCTTATTGTTTAGCATAAGACTCAGATTTATTTGAAGCTAGCATCATGCTTAGGAAAGAAGAATCTAGTTTTTGGTTAACAAGTCTGTAAATGCAGCTCATCGTAAACGCCATTTCTGAGAATTAGTTCTTTATTGTTTTAGTAGACAGCAGTGGAGGCTCATCTAATGAAGCAGTAGTATGTGATTACAAGTATTCACAGCTTTGGGGAAAAAAAGAAATGACTACAGTAAACGTTACAAAGTTACCAAAAAAACCCACATGAAGTCATTTAAAAGGGCAATATCATGTAAAATCAACTTTTTTGAGTTTTATATCATGTTATAATGTTACACTCTCATAAAAAACATGCCCAAA